CCGCCGGACGGCCACCCAGAAGTGGCGGCGGCTCCCAGGCATCGGAGCGAGAGAGGCAGCGAGCCGGAGCGAGAAACGGGGCGGGGATGGACCGGGACAGAGTTGGAACTTCCTTCTCCCGGGGCTCTGGGGGCTTTGGGGTCCAGCTGGGAAAGGCGAGTGGAAAGGAAGCTCCCAAGCGGGGTGTTCCCATTCCCACCGCTAGGGCGTCGCCTGGGAAAACTCGGCGCGCCCTGGGCGGACAGGTAGGGCGGCAGGGACCGGACCTGCCCGGTGAGGACCCCAGGGGAGGATCCCGGCGACTGCGGAGATTCGTAAACACACAGCACAGGGCCTGCAGCTGGCCCTCCCTGAGGTCTGATCTTCCACGTCCAGGGTGTTATTTTTGTTGTTTTTCAACCTGACCTCTAAGATTGCTATCCTGTTGAAAGCATACCTGTGACACTGTGACCTATCTAATGGTGGCAGGATTAAGCTTGCCCTATCTTCAGGGGCATCTTTCTTTCTTACTTTCTTTTCGCCTGTAACTGCTGTGGCATGAGGACTGGACAATAATATGTCTGAAGACAATCTATAAATTAAGAATCAAATGATAGATCTTATTCACCTCTTGGAAAAGCGGAATAAAGGGACCACAGATGCGGCTGCGTGCTTGTTTGTAAGGTTTAGTTCCCACGTGAATGCTCTTTAGATGACTCTTTACACCTGACAAACAGGTACATTCGCATATCTTTATATGATCGTAAGTGTCCATTGTTGCATTGTGCAAGCCATTTTTGATGGGTCCAAAAACTTGCTTTCAAAAAAATAACGTGAAATTAACTAAGGAATTAACTTTAAACTACAGTTTAAAAATAAACATTTAAACAAATTGCTGTAGAGAGGTTAGGTGAAAGAGTATCCTATAAGAGGCCTCTAATGTGGTATTAGCATCAAGTAACAAATCTGTGTTAGCCATTTAACCCCGGGATAACATTTGGTAGGTGGGAAAAATTAAATTAATATTTAAAATCAATGCTGGACTAAATGCTCCTTTAGTTATTCATTATTGTAGCAACAAAAAAATGGCTGAAACTAAGTAACATATTAAATACCAAGTAATATGCCATTTGTCTATTATAGTCAGTCAGTAATTATTCCTTCCTATGCAGAATATATTCCTTTCAGTGTATCTTTACATAAAATGTGGTTTGTTTAGATTACAATATTAGAACCATAGGGGGGAAAAAGTTGTGTTTTAATATTTTACCTAATATTGATCAAATCAGTTCATTTCAATGTACGTGGCTTTTAGTCTTCCAAACCAACTCAGGTTAAACAATTTCATGAATCATTTATGACTCTAAATGACTAGTTGCTTGCACAGAAAATAATGCAAACATTGAGTAACAGTGAAACTACTTAAAGTCTGTAACTTTCAATCACAAGATCAAGATTAAACTTTAATTGGTTTCAACCTTGATTTATGACATGCCAGTAGTATTGTTGACTGTATTAATTTAATCTGAAACATAATACACTTTCCTAACATTTCATACTACTGAAGGCATTTTCAGTGCTCTCCAATTTTTCCTGTCCTCTTTCTGGTTTTATGGATAGGGGAGGTTTACACTCCTCACCCCACTGAAATTAGCTTTAGCAGTGTAACTTGTTTTTGTAGATAATGTGAGCAGACATGAAATGTTTCATGTCCTGGTGGAATCACTTAAGGGTCAGTGCTTGACTCTATGCTCTTTTCCCTGGCTGCAGCAATCATGGAAGTGCATCTTAAGAAGGAGGCGGCATAGAACTGAAGGATCCCGGAATGCTAAATTATTACCCTGCGCAACTGCCCAGGAGAGTCCCAGGACCTACAACAGAATCTGCATAAGCAAGAAATAAACTTGTGTTGGGTTAAGCCGCTAAAATACTGAAGTGGCTGTTGCCCATCATTGCTTAGCCTAGCTCATGAACACAGTATTCCCCCCTTATCCGAGGTTGTGCTTTGTGGTTCCAGTTTCCCATGGCCAATGACAACCAGGAAATGTTAAATGGAAAAATTCTAGAATAAACAACAAGCTTTAAATTAACTATATTATGAATAGTGTGATGAAATCTCCAGAATCCAGCTCTATCCCACTCGGACATGAATCATCCCCTTGACCAGTGTCTCCACGCTGTATAAGCTCCCCATCCTGTGGTCATGCTGTAGCCATCTCGGTCAGAGTATGGCAGTGGTTGTGTTCAAGTAACCCTTGTTTTACTGAATAATGGCCCCAAAGCATAAGAGAAAAGTATCTTCAAATTCTATAAAAGAGAAGTGATGCTGGCAATTCGTATATGCCAAAGAAAACCAGTAAAGTGTTTCCTTTAAGTGAAAAGGTAAGAAAAAATAGTCTATATAGAGTTTGGTTCTATCTTCAGTTTCAGGCATTCGCTGGGAATTGTGAAATGTATTCCCTATGGATAAGGGGGGACTACAGCACAACCATATCAGTTTTAACCTCTGAATTCCCCAACTCCATAAGCACTATTTATGACAATCAGTGACCCTTTATTTGTAATGTTCTAAAACATGGTTTTCCATCTGGCAAGCATAAGGCTACTTTCCTCTCAATATATTTTGATTTGGATTAAGTATTGCCTCATAGCTCCAGGCATGATTCTTAAGCAGGTTATAAATTTTGCAATCTCAATGCTATAGAACTGGCTGAGCTATTGCTAACACTATTTCAACACCCAAGAGTTTCCTTCCAATTTTTCTGAAAGATCTCACCTTTTTAAACAATGTTACAGGGAGTTGAAGAATTTAAGAAGTTGGTTGAACATGTTAATGGTAGTTTCAGAATACAATTCTTCCATTAGTGAATTACGTGTTTCATTTGAAGTTGGCTATAGGAGTCTAGCAAAAAACAATAAATTGCCTAGTTATTCCAGCATCAACATGTCTTTCAAAGTCAAATCAATTCAGTGAAGTGAGTCATTTTACAATGATCATAGTTTTATTTGTGGGAAATTATAATCCTATATTTGAAGGAAAATTTGGAAAATAATTTTGTAATTTTTAGTTTCATCATCAGTAAGAAGGTGATAAATTAGTATAATATTCTATGGTGCAAGGTTTGAATTATGAATACGAATAACAATTGTACTCTATTAAAAAAAATTCTAACTATAACAGATACATATTATACAATGTTATCTCTGAGAAACACTTTGGAGGTTGTCTGTTCAAATTATCCATTCCATGTATTAGAAAACTGAGACGTATAAATAGGATTGTCAGATTTAGTAAATAAAACTACATCATACCCAGTTAAATTTGAATCTCAGATAAACAATGAATACCTTTTTGGCATAGGTATGTACCATGTAATGTTTAATTGCCCCCATGGCTGCTTCGCTTCCCACGCCCAGTTCAGATCGGGACCCAGGTAAAGACAGAGACTGGCTGACAGCAGCTGCCCTCTCACTGCAACAGGACTTGTTTCCCATTTCTACCTTGGACCACAGGGAAAGGGGCAGCTGAAGGAAAGGGCTGTGTCAGGATGCTGCCTTCTTCCCTTTCTTCTCCCTCTTTTTTCTAAACACTTCCATGCCTTGTAGTTCTTTTGCTTTCTCTTCTTTTTCTCTCTACTACCCTCCATCTCCGCCTCCTCCTCCTCCTCCCCGGTATCATCCATATTGGCCGACACAGGGCACAGCTGACTCCTCCCCGGACACCGACACCACCATCAAGCATGGCCCTGCCCTGATGGGCCCTTTGATGCAGCCCTTCAACTCGCTGACGCTTCTGCTTCTGGAAGCCCGTCGCCAATGACGCCGCCCGCTAGCCAGATCAACAAGGACAACCAAACCACCGACTTGAGGACAGCTGAAATCCCTTGACTGAAGAGGCCAGCAACCTTCTACAGGAACAAGGCTCCTTGTGCACTCCATCCACTATGTTTATAGCTATGCTTATTGTCATTCCTTGCCAGTCTTCTTCCGAGTCTTAAACAGCCCAATCTGAGAGGTGGCCACTGATTTGCATGCACTATCATTTAAAAAATAAAAAAGGGGGAATTTGCCGGAAGCCGGTCCATCCTTGCTGCTTGACACAGTCGCTGCAGGAAAGAAACATCTGCACAGCATATGTTTCAAGGGACCTGGCATATATAGCATATTGTTCTTAATATGTTTGCTCTCCTTAAGCGCCATGTGTTTTAACCAAGGTCACCTCTCCGAGAAAGGTTGTTTCCCCAGGTAGGGATTTTTCCCTGAGGTTAGGGAGGGGATACAACCCCTTAACTAAGTGCCAGGCGGGTAGTTAATCACTTTAACTACAAACAATCACGCTTAAGCTACATAATCTTTACTCCCTGGAATGGAGATAAGAAACGCCCTAACCTTTGTAATAGAAATTGACAGGATTAAAATCAACTGGTATAAATACAGATGTAACAAGACAATAAACATCAGATCCTGATCAGTTCCTAACCAGAACTCCGACCAGAACTTTGGCTGGAGATCCTGGCTAGAGGTCCTGACTAGGCTGCTGATCAACTGAAGGCTGTCTCCGTGTCATTCCTTCTTCGCCGACTCCGTCCACACCTTTGGGGACCCCTGGACCTGCTGGGGTTGGACCCCAACAACACATAAAAGGCAGTGAAGAAGCTGTCTAATAGGATTTAGCCCACAAAGGGTCTTTAATGTTCATCTTGGCCCTGTGTGAGCCTGTAAGCATAATATGGACATCAGCTGTTGTGTCCTTCCAGGCTGGAAGCTGAGGAATGCAAAACATACATACACACACACACACACACACACACACACACACACACACCCCACACAGAGACACAGACAACTGTGCAGTGACAGCCAGAGTGAAAGGGGGTGGGGTAGGTGGAGATGGGCAAAAAGGGGATAAAATAAATAGGGACAGAAAAAGACTTTGCTTTGGGCAATGAGTGCACAATGCAGTGTTCAGAGGCTGTTTTGTTGAGTTGTACACTTGGAACCTGTATGGTTTTGTGAACCAATGTCACCCCAATAAATTCAATAAAAAATAAATTTTAAATGTATCTATAACATTTTAGAGCAAAATAAGTCAAGATAAACATTTTACTGTCATCAAAAGAGACTTGACATATATCAGAATGAAGAACAAGAAATGCTCACAGTCACTTACAGCACATTTTATAATCTCTCCATCTGCCCAGGGTTTTCCTAATCATTCAGGTATTTTTTATGTGCACCAGCTTTTTCTTCATAGCAACCCTTGGAAGCAGTCATTATCTCTCATTTTACAGGTGGGAAGGCTGAGGCTCAGAGAGGTTAACTGACTTGAGAAAATCAATCCACTGATAGGATCCAGAGCAGTGACTAACATCCCAAGGTCTTGGTTCGCAGTGGTCTCAATGATACCAAGATGTGCTTTCTATATTTCTAAGAAAAATGTACTAAGAATAAATTCCTTCTGCATGCATTTTTTCCTGGCCTCATGACCTCTATAAGCAGTCCTCTAAGCTAATTATCTGTGCATGTTCCCTAAGCCATTTGGGCACTCTGTAGTATTTAAACACACTTTCCATGAATGCTCCTGGCTTTGC